TTAGGTTACTGAACATGTTGTTTTATACAGTATTAATAGTTTGACTGCTGGTTACATCCCGGATATGCAGTTTTGAGTCTCCTTTTGATTGCGCTTTTGACACTAGCATCTTTGAAGTTGACATTTATAGATAGTGGATTTCTTTTGAGTGTAGTTTTTTTATTTATCAACTGTGGAAATTAATAAATGTTATCGAGACAAAAATTATATCATCAATACTCTCAGAGTATTATTAAAAATAAAACTTTCTTATCATAACAAAATACATATTTAAGTCAAAGAACTGTTTAGGACTTGAAGTCATTATTATGTACAATCAATAATGTGGTATGTGCTACCGATGTCGATAGATATAAGTAGTATATATCATCAGTTGAAAGTGAAGTACTTGTCAGCAGAAGGTTAAGAAGATCGAAGAAAAGAGAACGAGAACAGAAAATGATTGGTGTAGAAATGAAGGAACGATGGAATCTGGAACGACTGATTAACGATTTGCAAATGAAGTATTTACTGTATGGTTCTCAAATTTTACTAAGAGATTCTATAGTTTCGCATCTGAACACACTCGATTATCGTCACTTGTGTTATCACTCAAGCAGATGCAGTTGTGCATTTAATAATTTTCACTGTGTGAGTGCATATGCATACAAGTAATTCACTTTCCAGGTTCGAATACGAGATTGTCCTCATTTCACACCTGTTTAACTTGTAATCATTGTCATTTGGTCCAATGAATAAACATTAATTTATTTTCTATGCTTAATGAGTTTTCATCCAATTTTTCCTTTTGTTCTCTTCTAGATTCTCATATAACATTCCTCTGTACAATTCCCCTTCTCATAAGTGCAAATACTTCATGTTAGATGCAACTCTAACAAAGTCTTGTCATGAAAATTCATAAAATAAAAAATAATGAGGTTCAATATTGTATGTTATAGTAAAACAGTTAATTGGCAAACAACTATCATAAATCAGTATACATGGGATTGTACCAATAAAGAGACAGAATAAGAAGTCTTACAAATCATCTGAAATTTATTAAAAGCATTCATATCTCCACTTATTGAACTTTTAATAAGAGGGAAGATTCTAGAAAAAAAATTTTAAAGACTACCATTAATTATTTCATATATTTAATAATTTCTAAAAATTATTTGTTAATTTCAGTAGTTAAGATCATGAGTCCATTGAAACCAGACCACCTTGGAGACCGCAAGACCGATAGGTCCTGGATTCGAATCTCGCAAAGCGGGATCATAGATATGCACTGCTGAGGAGTCTCATACTAGGATGAAACGGCCGTCCAGTGCTCCCAGGTTTTTCATGGTGGTCTAGCTTCAATTAACTCATGATCTTAACTACTGAAATCACTATAATATCCACACAAAAACCCTTCTGATATCAATTATTCATTATTTGATGAATTATTATGATCCATTTGTTTATTTTAACAACTTACTAGGAATCAATGGAATGAATTGACGAAAGTAATTTATTGATTCAATTTACTAATGCATATCTGAACATAAATCAAACAATGTAATAGTAATATTTGCAAAAATTCTGATGTCAATGTCTTATTGGTAATTAAAATAAGAAGTAGAGAATATGGTACTATCATGGGGAAGTAAATTTTCAGTGGTTTCTAAGACAATAGATTGGACCTTAAATAAACGGTTTTAAGAAACATTACCACCATGGATTGTTTTGATCAAAAGTGAAGTGTATTTTTTTTTAATTACACTAGCATTTGAAAGAAAACCAATTCTTTTTGATAGAGTTTTGTTCTCTGAGCTGGATGGTTTGGTCGTTGAGCTTTGACATCATCAGCACAAACTTCATATAGAAGTGAAGTGTTCGAATTTTTCACATGTGGTTCACAGCTTGTCGTATAGACATCGATATTGATTGGTTCTTGTTGACCTTAAACCTATCATTGTTTACTTTTTTGTTTTGGTTGTATCTCTCATTGGTTTGATTTTTGGCCTACCTGAAGTTTGTGCTAATGTCGTCGTTCAGACCTAATTATCTAGCTCAGAGAACAAATCTTCATTCAAATCATCCACCTGAACTACAAATCGTCTCCACCATCTCAGAAAATCATTTTTTTTCGCTCAAGAGAATTTTACTTTTTAAGATGATTAAACTGGATTTTGATTAAAATATAAAACATTTTGAAAAACCGAAAACACTGACCCAAATATATTTACATATCAAGTATATCACCAAAAAAAACAGGCTTCCATATAGTGCATTAATGAGTGTAGAAAAAAGCTGAATATAGACAATCGGAATTGATACATTTACGAGCTGAGTACCAAATAGGACGAACTACTCATCCTTGATTCCACTGCTAGCTATCATCCATAAAAACAATAAGTTCGTAATCCTTCTTATTGGTATATTGTGTAATTCTTAATTCACTATATATATATATATATATATATATATATATATATATATATATATATATATATATATATCCTATCTCTTAATTAAAACTAATTTATGATGTCAACAGTAGTTAATTGCGAATTTGTTTCTTTTTTCTCTTAACTGTATATAATTAAATGTGTTTATTGAAATAATCTGCAACTTGCTAAACAACAGTAATAAATAATACGAAACAGGTGGTCAACTATTCATTCATTCATTCATTCATTCTTTCATTCATTCATTCATTCATTCATTCATTCATTCATTCATTCATTCATTCATTCATGATTAACTCTTATCCTTTTCTAAAAAGAAAATGTCAATACTTTTTATAGGATGTAATTTGTTCTATTTTTTTTTCAAGATTTCTCATTTTTCATACTGTTATTCTTGTTGTCAATATTGAACAGATGTTGTAACCAATTTTCACATTTTGTTTTATCAACCTTATTATATAGATACATAGATATATATATGTTTTTTTTGAACAGAAATCAACCAGTTTACTTATGGAGAAAAAACCCCGATGAATAACAAATGAAGCAGTTAGTAGTAGTTGGTTAAGCCTTTGTGATGATGTAATCGAAATTTATTAAGTTCAACTGACATTACTTTTTACATGTAAGTTCACCTGGTATATATATATTAAAGAGGTTGTGCGTGTCTATGACCTTGATGTGTGTTTATATGTTTAATTTATATAATGAATATTAATCGTCACATTTAGATATATGGAAAGCGATTTGAGGATATGTACTGTCTTCATTTGAATGTGTGTCAATGCACATCACAAAGGATGGTTGAGAAAGATAAAGTTTTTTTTGTTTTATTATAATAATTATTATTATAGTAATAATATAACCCTTTCTAAATAGAATTGTAGTCACCATGATCGAATGAGGGTTTGGTATAACCGATAGAAAAAAAATTGCGTAATAAGGAAAGAATAATATAAAAACCATAAAATTACTGAAAACAGATGGTAATATTTATTATGTTACTTACTAAATTTACTCAGTGATTTATTTCAATAATGAAGAAAAGAAATTATTGTAATGGGTCATATTTCTTAATATAGTGAAATTAATCACAATTGATTGATCACTGGGTGGTGACCAATGTCATGCATGTCTAGTCCTTGTTAGTGCCGATCGAATACTATCGATCCTGTCGACTACATCCAACCACCATCTAAATAGTGAAATTAAATCATTCAGTAAATACAACATTTACAACTGAATGAAATTTTTAAACTCATTTTTGTACTTTTCAACTATTTATTTTTAAATAAGAAAGATTAGTTCAGCGAAGAGTTCTATTTTGATAACATTCACAAATGTCAGAAGGGTTTATGTGGATATTATAGGAATTTCAATGATTGACATCATGAGTCAATTGAAGCTAGACTACCATGGAAAACCTGGGAGCACTGGACGGCCGTTTCATCCTAGTATGAGACTCCTCAACAGTGCACATCCACGATCCCGCTTTGTGAGATTCGAACCCAGGACCTATCAGTCTCGTGCCAGGCGCTTAACCAATTCAATGATAGAATGAATTTCAGAATATGACCCAATGTTCAACCCTATATACAACTGAATTTACGATTTAAGTATGTCACCCCTCTCTTTTTTCTTTTTTACAATTTTTCCATTCAAAAAATTTTTTTTTAATATTAAATTTTCTACCTAGAAAACTTCATTCACTTGATTGAAAAACTTTTTAAATTATAAAATTTCAATTGGTTCATTCGAATCACCACCCGCTATGTATATACAACGAATAATATTTTTAATTTTTCTCTCCATTTATATAATAACATAAATATGGTAATACTTTTCTTTGTTTGTATGAATAAAAACAATAAATTATTTCACATTTTTCATAGATGAAAAATAATACTGACATGATTTGTGTTTATTAACATGGTCACATGTATCCATGTATGTACGTATGTATGTATGTATGCAAGTATATAGTGTATATGTGTACATGAAATGAATATCATTTCTATACTTGCCCCCCTCACCCTATCCATTATGAAAGAGACACAAATGATAAAAATTGAAAGAGAAAAAAAAACACCAACAACAATAACAATGAAATAAAACAAATCACATAAGAATTATTATTAACATTTATGGTACCATGTGAATAAATGTGAACCAATGAAAAATTAGTTACGCTCTACATAATAAAAATTAACAAATGAAAGGGAAACAGAATTCTAAAGTTTTAAAAAAAAATAAAGGTTGATGATAATGAGAGACAAAAAACAACAACAACAAATAAACTGATTATAATATACAAACATGTTAATTATTTGTTATATTAAAATGCATCTATGTATATTTCTAATCTTTACAAATGATAAACAATAGTGTTTTAATAGGAAATTCTTTTGGATTATAATAAAGTTACTTCTTATATATATCAACAATAGTAAATATCACATTATCTAATTTGGATTAAATATGAAATAATTAAAGTCATTAAACTTAAGAACGTTTTTGTTGTAAAGAAAAAAATAATTGGGACATTCAAATTGAATTAAATAATAACAGATGATAGAAACCATGGGAGATTTTTCAAGGTAGGTTAATTCTTTGTAAACGGTAATTTATTATTCAATGAGATATATATATTGTCCAACTTCATTTCATTGTAAACATGTCATCTTATTAAAACATACTATTATTGAACTGTAAATTTTTAAAACTTAAAGTTCATCCAAAAGGAAGAATATGTATTTGTAAAATCTCAGCGAAAGAATTTGAAGTAAATCCAATGTTTCGTCTGGCAATCTGGTCCAAGCTTTTTCAAGGAAAAAATAATCAAACAACAAAATTATCGAATATTATTCTATAATTGTCAGGTGAAACGCTGGATTTACTTCAAATTCTTTCGCTGAGATTTTACAAACACATTCTTCCTCTTTAATGTCTCATATTAACTCGGCATCAAAATACTGTGAGACTATTCAATCAAATTTAGACGAAAGTTCTTATTTAATGTTCATTCGCTGACTTATATTCACTTGACAACTATCCACGATGAATCTATTCGTTCACATTTAGACGATCGTTTTTATATACATTAATATGATCTTTTTATTCAACATTCCCCTTTTATTTATTAAAATTCTTTACATCGTACTAAAAGTATTTAATAAAATGATCATTATTACCACAATCATTTTTATTAATAATATTAATAACAATAATAATAAGTATTAGATTCTTCTAATTCTATGGTTTATTATGTTATCAAAGATAATGGGAATATCTCGACCAATCAATGAAATATTAGTGAGATTATCTGCCTAAATTAGCTTCATCCAAAACACATTATCCATTCCATGATCTATTATAGATATTCCTGTAGAATAAATATGTAGGTGAATGAGATTATTACAGAGGATATTAGTAGGTTACTAGTCTTTGATCATAGGTGTCTTCGAAATATTGCTCATATATCCTGGGACCATCGAGTAAGTAACGCAGTTGTTAAGAAACGGGTACTAGGTAAGGATGGCAAATCAATTGATGAAGTAGTAAAACTTCATCAGTTGAGATGGCTGGGACACGTGTTACGTATGCCCAACGACCGACTGCCTCGACGTGCTATGTTCAGTGGTATAGGAGTAGGTTGGAAGAAAGCTAGGGGCGGCCAAACCAAAACATGGCACAAGTCCATGAAGTCACTGACAAGTGAACTGAGTCATGTTGGTAGGTGAAGACTACCTGGTTGGGGACCGCGAGATGATAGCAACCGATGGTTAGAGACACTGAATGATATGGCTCAAAATCGTTTGCAATGACGCAAGTGCATCCGCTCTTTGTGTTCTCCCAAATTCTAATCTTCTGAATACTTCGTGTCCTTTATTTTCTTTCCAACTCTATTTCACCGGATTATACTTCTTGAATAACATCTTCACACCCTAATGTTTCCGATTACTGCTTATACTCTTACCACCTCTACCACTATGGGATTTGAATCGACAACTGCATCACTGTGCTAATGTGGTGTGGCAACTCGAACTGATGTACGTACGTATGAAGTTCTACGTTGTTACTGACTGACTGACTGAGATTAGTACACATTATTCACAGAAAAACCACTAAGTCTTTAGCCAGTTTTGTTATTTTCATAAAAATAACCATAATCTCATTAGACTGGTAATTCGTATGTTAACTTCCAGGAACTAATGACTGATGACTGAAACTAAACTGTGAATAAAAGCAACATATTTATGTACGTATAATGTTGACAAGTAATTCTGTTTAGAATTTTATTGATAGACTTAGAAAAACAGTTGTGTATCAAGTTTAAAGTTATCTGTGTTAAATATAATGGAGGTAACAAAGTGATCAGAAATTTTTTTTTCAATGACAGTGACATTCAGTAAACCTGTCCAAGTTGTACAGAAAAATATTTGTTGATGCTGCAACCAGCTGACATGACCAAGTTAGGCTATCACTATCATGTTCTGAATGTAAATCGTAACAACGTTTGTAAATAAACTGACTTTATAGCATACGTCTAGTATTACTGTTACATCAAACAAAATGTCATTAATGAGTACTGCACTTTAAGTGGTGATCACCATCCATTTTCCTTCATACTAACAGTCACTGTAAATGATGGTCCACTTTAATCTCAACTGATTTTATGTTGAGCCCTATAAATACACATTACTAATTACATTAATCTCCTATATATTTAAATATTTATGTTTAAACTACTTCGGTACAATGTTAACATTATTAGTACATATTTTTCTCTGAACAACAACGTTTACATACTAATAACAATAATACCGACTGGTGATAACTGTAAACAGTTTTCACTTACACTTAATTTGTTCAGAAAAAGATGTGACTTTGAAATTGTAACATTAGTGTTATTAGTAGTATCAGAATTGGTAGTAGTAGTAATAATAGTCACAAGCACTGGTGTGAAATTACCCGTTTTTTATAGTCTTCAACAGGTCTACTTCATATTATGATCAATTGAAAGCTTCTGAACCGTTAAATCACACTCATTATTTAATTCTTCCAAAGTTTCGAGAAATTTCTATTACTGAACTCAAATCTGTACGAAAATGAGTATTATTCCTATTTATATAAATCTTTAGTTTAAAAGGTTTGTTAGAGAGTAGTTTGGTTTGTAGGTTGTACTATTGAAGAATAAATGTGTTTGAGCAGCTATTTATTTCTAGTATGGAACTCCTCTCGAATTTGTTCCTCAATAAGATCAATATGTAATGAATATAAGCTACATAATAAAAGTCTCCCTTAAGCAAATGTAGTCACAATCTTAATTTATATTTCAATGATTACCCATTGCAAATTTATCCACAAGATTCCATCTTATTCACTTAATTTTCAGTTTGATTCAATCCATGATATCTCGGTGGGAATGAAAAAGCGGGATTTTTCTAGCTAATATCACATATAACTTGCACGGTTTAGTATCTATATAAAACCCGAGTATTATTATTAGTATTATCACTTGTAATCTTATAAATATATAATTGAAATTCTTAAGCTTAGATACAATGTATTATTAAATCAAAATAGTGAGGTGAAATAATCGACCTCCTATTGAGAGAATGATTACAAATGAACCACAATAAGTATATATATATTAATACATACATACAATTAATGTCCTTTAAGTTATCAATACAAGTTGTTTTCTTTTCACTCTTTCATATTTCTAAGATGATATTCTTTTTTGTCTCAATGGATATATTCCGCTTACTTAAATAAATAAATAACTAATATCCAGCTACAATAAATCATAGAATTTTCAACGTTTTCAATATCATCCATCTGTAGTTGTTTTGTTATCAGAGAATCGATTCTTGAAAATTCTGCATACTATAAGTATGAAGATATGCATGTTTAAGGTCGTACTAAACTGTACTATAATTAGTTGTGATTATACTTTAATAGTTGATTCCATGAGTCAATTAAAGCTAGACCACCATAGAAAACATGGAAACACTGAACAGCCGTTTCGTCCTAGTATGGGACTCCTCAGCAGTGTGCATTTTTTATCCAGTCTAGGGGTTAAACGTTCGCGCGCGAGACCGAAGATTTCGGGTTCGTATCTCGCGAGCGGGATCGTAGGTGCGCACTGCTGAGAAATTCCATACTAGGACGAAATGGCCGTTTAGTGCTTTCATGTTTTCCATAGTGGTCTAGCTTCAATTAACTCATGATGTTTACTATTAAACAAAATAAATCATTTAAAAATCATAGTGTGTTAATTTAACATTGTAAACGTCTCAACGATTCAACATCTATCTCAACGCTGGAACAATGTCTAGACTGATGTAGAAAGTAGTTCTTTTAATATTATTTAACGCTAATGGAACATTATAAATACAGAAATTTAATACAAATAAAAGCTACTCAAATATCTAACATTTATAAAATGATTCATATAGGTTATAAGTTGAAAACAAATGAAGGATAAGCCAAATGTAAAATATTTGCACTCTAAACACTTTTATCCCGGAAAAAAGTAAACCATTCATAAGTATTAAAATACTTCATTCAAATTATTATTAAGTCAAGCACTAAACTGACCAAACTAACATCTCATAAACTTATTGTAAAAAGAAAGATTTTGATTTTGATATAGTAGAGAAGATTTGTAGCTAAGGTAAATGATCTTCGGTCTCTAAACTGGATGATTTCTTTATGTAACTTTCGTTGTTTTTTTTTGTTTTTGTTTTGAATAAAAGTTATATTGAAATAACAACCTAATTAAAGCTGAATGTTATGTAGTGATATAATGAGCTTACACTGAATAAGTCAGTAACAGCGTAGAACTTCATACGTACATACATCAGTTCGAGTTGCCATACCACATTAGTACAGAGATACACTTATCAATTCAAATTCCATAGTTGTAGAGATAGTAAGAATATAAGCAGTAATCAGAAAGACTAAGGTTTGAAGATGTTATTCAATGGGTATAATCCATTGAAATAAATTTGGAGTTTTTTTTCCACAAACTTAATTATTTTTTAAATATTCATTTTCCATAACAACAACAACAACAAAAAGAAAGAGAGAAGATTATAAAAATCTTAACCTGAATAGGAATTCAGTTAATTGTTCACTTCCGAATTAAAGACGATTAGCTATTACAATGAATAATAAACTTTTTATACAATTTTATAAGTTTTTTCTCCTGAATAAAAATAATTTTTGCTTTTATATAAATATACTTTTTCATTTAAAAATACTTCCGGAATATTTAATAATTACTTAATTATTACTAATATATATAATCATTATATTGGTTATTGTCTGTATATTCAAACCTACCGATACATACATATTAACTGGAACATAATATTTATTATAATAAAAAAACAAAACAAACAACAACCAGGTTAATTATCGAAATCATAAGTATCATCAACATTATTTTATCATAAAGTACCAATGGTCAACGAAATCAATCAATACTAGTTGCTGTAGCCAAGTTTTCTTATTATTTAGTTAGTCAGTTAGTCAGTTAATAATAAATAACACAGAATATGATGCATATGTTCAATGGTTTGATTTGCTATACTATATTATCATACAATGAAAAATAGTTAAGATATATACTACTAGGGTAGTAGAAGTAGTGACAATATCATTGGGAATAAAGATTATTAAGTATGTGCAATATAATTCGATGGCACAAGTTCATGAAGTCACTGGCAAGTGGACTGAGTGATGTTGGTAGGTGAAGACTACCTGGTTGGGATCCGCGAGATGATAGCAACCGATGGTTAGAGACACTGAATGATATGGCTCAAAATCGTTTGCAGTGACGCAAGTGCATCCGCTCTTTGTGTTCTCCCAAATTCTAATCTTCTGAATACTTCGTGTCCTTTATTTTCTTTCCAACTCTATTTCACCGGATTATACTTCTTGAATAACATCTTCACACCCTAATGTTTCCGATTACTGCTTATACTCTTACCACCTCTACCACTATGGGATTTGAATCGACAACTGCATCACTGTGCTAATGTGGTGTGGCAACTCGAACTGATGTACGTACGTATGAAGTTCTACGTTGTTACTGACTGACTGACTGAATTCGATAAAGAATGAATTTGGAAATATAAAATGTCCAAGATTTTACGGAAAACAGAGAATGAATGAAAATGAACCGCTTCCATCGATTTTTTACAAATTCATCCATTATCTCTAAACGTTCGCTACAAAAATCCTACTTATCTCAACTAAGTAGTTTGTACCTATCAAGATCATCTAGCTCAACTACCAGTGACTTTTTCAACTAATGTCATATGTTAGTTTAGTCACTACTAGCTTGCTTCTTGTTTATAACACCAGCAAATGTCTCTCATCTAAGTAGGTAGTTACCAGACAATGTAACACACGCCCCAGTCACCTTAATCCATGATTATTTACTACCCTACCAAACGATTTGTCATTTTTAACTAATATCCTATGTCTAACCTTAGTACTGCAGTCCAGATATACTCAAATGATACTTTGAAGGCACATATAATAAAACACCAATAATCTGCAAATTTCCCCTATTTTAAAGACCCTCTATTATATTTTTTACTGAAACGAACTGTATTTGAAATTTTAGGTGATAGGTTCATCTATTAGTAAGTTTAACATGACATATTGATATCATACAAAGAACTACTGGACTATTTTACACAGACGATATAATTAATTAGTGAACTTCATAGCAATATATACCATAAACACACCACGTTGGTATGAACCACTGACAGTTAAATTCCGTAATAGCTCCAGTACCTTGGATATTCCTAGTTCACACTGACTATCTAGGTTATTTCACTACATAAAGCAATTTAATTCCTAAGTAATCAGAGATTTCGTAAATTATGTAAATACATTATTTGTTGATTTGATTATTCAGGACAGCTTAGTGAACACACAGATTTCGACATGATCAGTTTATGTTCAGAATCACCCCATAAACATGAAGTTATTTCATGCAGTCTATTAACATTAATCAATATTGGTAACTTAAAATTCTATTTCTCAATTTTATCCTTTCAGTATTGATAGATCAGAATTAACTGAATCTTCAAATATGTATTTAGAACTCAACAATGAACCACAATTTCATCCATTATGGTGCATTTTACCATCAAAAAATGGTACTAACAATCATATACCATATTCCACACCATGTAAAGAGAACCACCGAAATAATTCAGAACCAACTGATAACAGGAGTTATAAAAATAATTCTGTTCCACGAATCTCTGATGTAAATACTTTGGATAATTGTGAAAAAACAGTTCAATCGATCAGTATAAATTTATCTCTTGCACAAAATAAGTCTTTTTCATTGTGTACTTCAAATGACGGAAATATTCCCAATACGAGAGTGCACAAGCTGGATGACACAAAACTGCATCAGGGTAACGGAATATCAGAAATGACTACAAAACAAACAATCAATAGTTCCGAAATCCCTGTTATACAAAACATAATATCACCACAATTTCCAACAAACGAATTTGCCACAACACCTATTGAATCACAACAATATGATATAAATAATTGTCAGATCAGTTCTTTGAATCGAATGAATGGTCTGACAAAAACAACTACAACTGACCAATCAGACAGACAGCAGAATATGAGGTAATACATTTTGAGGAAATTGATTAAATAAATAAATTTTTTGAATTGCTGACTACAAGGTATTTATGTTTTTTGACTAATTGTCATATCCACCGGCATTTAGTGATGATGATCTTCGTTAACCGACAGTCCAATTCAAGTTAATCTTTAAATAAACGGATGTAACTTCTTAATATAAATTGAAGTCTTTTCGTGTTTAGATGATGGAATAAATCTTCATTTCTTAATGCTGTTTGTTTTTAACGTTGTCCGGAGTCAAAATTTTCTCATTCTCAGTCCTAGTTCTCTTTAAAAACAGTTAGTTACTAAATAATATGAATGGTTATTGGTAAAATAAACTATGAAGGGTTAGGTGACTGAAGGTAGTCGGCAAAAATTCTGGATATAGGTTTCGTGATAGCTGACACTCATCAACAGTGTGGGCTCGTAATCTTAAGGAGACTTTTAGAGTCAAAATAAAGATAAAAAATTTGCACGACAAATGATTTTACAATCTTTAATAAACATAGTTCTGAACGGGTTTTGTGGATATTACAGTTATTTCAATAGATGAGAGATCATGAGTCAATTGAAGCTAGACCACCATGGAAAACCATTACTTCTAGGTTTTCCTTAGTGATCCAGCTTCAATTGACTTATGGTCTCAACTATTAAGAATAATTATATGCCTATTGAGCAAGATAAATGACATGTAACCACTATCCATGAGTTTATGGTAGCTCTGATAAATAGCCAGGGAATGGAGGAGTGAAGTGATGTGATTCCATTTGATAATCTACTTAGACTCAAAATGAAATATGAAATAGTAGTTTTAAATGTCTAAAATATTAACATTCTAAATTTCAAAAAGGACTCGTACAGCTCAATGGTTTAGCGGTTCGGTGCTAGCACCCAAGGTTAAAGGTTTTGAGCTCGATCCCTTTCAGGGTCCTGTCTACCTCGTACATCTGAGCATTAATTTCTATCCCTAAGTGGTTGTCTAACCTAGACTACTCCGTAACGTAAACTATAAAATCAAATATTTCTTATCAATAAATAAGAGATCTAGTAAATATTTATAAGTTACTCTAAAAATAGAATTACCTCTGATATGTTATATTGATTTTAGACTGTATTAGAAAATTTTACTATGCATGATACATTATATTGGCATTTAAATATCCACTTTAATATTGAATAAAAGAACCATGTTTCAGAAGTAAATTATTAGAACGAAACTTATTGTCTCGAATATTTATGTATTCTAGTGAACTGCTTCAAGCTATCAAAGTTTAAATAAACAATTAGTATCTTCCTATTTAATACGTTACTTAGTTTCTTTCCATAATGAAGTAGTTTTTTCCAAAAAAAAACTTGAATATTTCATTGCACCACGTAGACATTGATACAAAGAGGCAACAAATACATGTGCGTCACACAGTAACAATGAGGCTGGTAGCAGTTATCATTGATTTGTGTGAAAGCTGTGATACTACCTGGGTGTCCAGACCGAAGCAGGTGGTTTTCTTAAAGGGCCACACCCGAAGCCTTTGGCCTGAAGAACTAACCCATAAGGCAGTCGAGCAACGTTAGGAGATACAATCCCATGCTAGCTGGTGACCAACAATAGATTCATACGCCGTTTGTTCCCTCAGGATCCTGGAACCCATGTGTATCATTGGTTTGGAATCAGGGTTTTCCAACTCCTCTAGGTGGATACATCGTATCTACCAATCCGGTTAAATCGCCGGACACTCACTTTCTGTCTTCTTGAGAAGACAGTGAGTAGGGTTTTCCTAACAGTGGTTGTATACGCGTAGTTATATGTGAGCCTTTAGAGAGGGAGAGCGGACTCTCCCCACCCTCTGCCTTACCAGGGCTGGTTGAATCATTTGGGGGCATCTACTCAGATAATACGTATAAGAGATTAGTTATGAAATAAAAGCACCTATCAATTGTTCACTCTTATAAAATCTCATTTTAAACCATAAAAATTGCTTTATAATATGAAATGGCATCCTTTTTAATATGTAATGAAAATATATGGGAAACAAATTGTTTAATGTATGTGACTTATTTAATAGTCAGATCACTGAATGAACAAATTTTAAGTAATAATAATCTTTAACATGTATAATTCTCAAACAACATACACTTATAATTCATATAATATTTAATAGTTGAATACATGAATCAATTAAAGCTAGATCACCATGGAAAACCTGAAGGCACTCAACGGAGGTTTCGTCCTAGTATGGGACTCCTCAGCAGTGTTCATCCACCATCCTATTCGCGGGATTTGAACCCAGGACCTGTAATATAACATTTATCATCAATGCATCTCCTTAATTCATAACTTTCCATCAATGAATTAATCATTCATAAAAATAAATAATTGATAATAACACAAAACGTAGATAGATGGTATAAAATTATAAAGGATCATAAAATTCATTCCATTTACAAATTAAATAGTAATTGAAATATATTTACCTGATTTTTACGAATATTGTTTATGAGTTGAATGTTAAATGGTTAGAGAAAATAATCAAGAAACCTTGTATCTAGTATTGCATACAATTTAAAACTTGCTAGATTTGTATTTATGCTAGTTACAAGGAATCGATTCATACTTCAATGTTAAATTCAAAGAAAAATTTTACTTAACTACTCAGATCTCAATTAATTTAATACAGAATAGAAATCTCTGATTAATGAAGTATAATTAATCAGGTAGTATAATTTTCTTTGTTTCCTTAAGCTTGGAAATGTTCTGACAAGTTTGATAACACATTGTCAAATATTATAATCATCTGTTGTCATAGCTTCCATCTACTTTAATAAATTCTAGGTCTTATTCACTAAACTAATAACATTCTACAGACAACCACACATTCTGTTTATCTTATTAACAAAAAAAAGATCATGAGTCAGTTGAAGCTAGACCACCATGGAAAACCTGAAAGCACTGGACGGCACTTTTCGTCCTATTTTGGGACTCCTCAGCAGTGCGCAGTGATTTAGTGGTTAAGTAGGTCCTGGGTTCGAATCTCGTATGGGGCGAGGTCGTGGATGCGCACTGCTGAGGAGTCCCACAATAGAACAAAATGGCCATCCAGTGCTTCCAGGTTTTCCATGGTGGTCTAGCTTCAATTGACTCATGATCTTAACCATCGAAATTACTATAATATCCACAAAACCCATCTGAGAAAAAGAACTAGGAAAAATCGAAAGTTTTTCCTCTTTCTTAACATAGTTCAATTTCTTTTTGAATATTATAATTCTTAAAAGTGATACGCATATATATCTATACACAATCAAGGAAACAGATGTGAATGCCTAAAAAACTGGTTAAAGAAAAAAAATTGGTCCCCTTGACACACAAGAAAAAATAAAACAACAATTCTTGTTCATCACGTACAACATAAGAGATTAGTTGTATATTAAGTCTTTAAAAAAAACAAAGTTGTTATTAGTAAAATGGTGTATTTGTAATTGATTTTGTTTATTCCATAAAAACAATGATCAGAGAAAAAAAAACTATGATTAACTGAATGGGATAACAATGATAATAGTAATAATCATTCTGTATAAATTAAACTGTCTATCCTTTAGAATTAAGGGAAGGGGAATGAGACAAACAATGTTCGTGTGTTATCTTCCATACTTGAGTTTTTTTTTAATTTTGTAGTTATTTAAGTGACCAGGATAAATAACTTTTTTTAACGATCTCTCCCAAGAGATTTTTTTCATAATACAATTAATATACAAGAAGGATAAGCCGGTATTCTTTATCTGCATATGTATATATAACATTTTCTTGGTATTTTTTTCTTCATCATAATTAGAAAAAACGGTTTATAAGTCTAAGTTTATCGAGTATGAAAAACCCTTTAATTTATACATAATGATTGAGTGTCAGTCATTTGAGACATAGGTTAATGTGTATGTTCATTCCCTTGTGCTTTTGTAGTATTCATTACGCAATACGTAGATACGAGTTTTTATTTACTATCACTTGCACTTACCTACACTCTTAACATATCCATTTCCTTTTCAGCAATTTAAATAATATAGAAATAACAAGTCTATAATGAATGAATAATGAATGAGATAAGGAAGTATGTTTTTTTGTCATTCAGTTTTAGCGTAAAAACGAAATGCATGGATCACTGAATCTATGAAAATTGAAAATTAATAGGAAACATTTTTTTGTTTAAAAGCATACTGGAAAATGATTTGATTCTTCTTTCTCATCTGTTCTTCTCATTCTCCTCACTATTTTTTTAAATCTTAATTTGACATTGGAAAAGATATGATAAATAGGGTTTCTTTTTGTTTTTTTTCTCTCTACATTTCAAAGTTGTTTTTGTTTACCTTTACTGTTTTTAAATACAGAAACATTTAGATTTTAAAAAATTTTCAGAATTATGGAATGAAATCGTTTAGCTATTTTTTTTCCTCATTTTCAACTCATCTTCGTTTGTCTTGTAGCTATGATCCCTAGGAATTTGTTGGTTGCTGAACATCCTCATTTGTTATATAACGAGAAAACTATATTATTTAGTCACCTTTACATGATCTGAGAAAGAAATACCAACAAAATTATGTTGATAATCACAAAAAATATCTTATTTATCATATTATTTTCTTAACTACAAAATAACTAATTTACTAGGGACTTGATTAACTTAGTTGAATGGGTTTCATGAAAATCTGTTTAGTTTGTAAGTTGTGGGTGTGAACTACTGAAGAGTCTTACACCAGGATAACCAAGATGTTCTCTACTTTACAGTGGTGTTTCAACTGAAATCAATGTTTACTGAATATAACCTGACGAAAAGTAGACAATTTTTTTTGTTTCCTGGGTTGTGGAATAGTTCGCGAACCAAAGTCAATTTCTGATTACAAATGCTTTTGACTAATCCATGTTCAATAAACTGACATTTTTAATGGAATAATTATACTACTTTCTTTATACGAGAATATTAATCTATATAGATAACAAAAATAGAATAACG